TTGGCGCGCGCTCCTCCCTCAAAATTAGTAAATTTTGGCGCCTTTAAAAAAGTTAGAGTCCGTCAGCCAAAAAATGATAGCTCAAAATAAAACAAAGGGGGGACCCTTTGGGTAGGCAGGGTTCGAATCCCTGAAGGGGAGAGCGTCCAAAACCCCCCCCCCCCCTCCCAAATCCGCAGGTGTGCTCAACACTATTAGAAGCATATCATGCAAGCTCAATTTCTATGACTTTAGGTTCTTACCGCAAAAGAGAGTATATTGTTAGATGGTACAGCGTTGAATATGTCCTCGTAAGCCTTGGTGTTTTTGGCCGCCCTGGAGTACCAAGTCTGTTTGAAGAAGTGGTCACAAACTGGGTCATTGTAGATAGTGTCATCTATGGGCATGAGGTGTTCACGGAATAGCTTCTGACGCAGGCCCCAGCAGAACCTTGCCAAAACACAAAAAAATTACATACTACAGTTGACTTGATGGATCCACCGGCAATGTATAAACCGGTTGATGTCAGATTAAAAAGCGCTCTGAAGTTTTGAAGAAAAATCATGAAACTCTTTCAAAAACAAATAGTTTATTCTGGTAAAATAATACTTTTTCGTAAAATAATACTTTTTCATAAAAATATTTTTCCTAAAATTACTATGAGCTATTATGCGATGGTATAAAAACAAGCCGAAGTATCAACCAGCCGAAAATACGTAAGCGTTATATAGTAGTAAGAAACAAGTATATGTAACAGTTACGAAAGAAAATTAGTTCATATGATGTATTTTCGGGCTGGCTCATTTACTCCGCGCATTTTCGGCTGGCTTATACTTCGGCTGGTGTATTTATTCTCTATTGTTTGACTAGGAACATAAATTATATAATAGATGTTTAAGTTATGGCAAGAGAACTTACTTTCCGGCTGCGTATGGCTTGCCATCCATCTGAGACTCTATGAACTCCTCGTCTCGGAACGGATACATAAATCACGCTGGATATCTTGAAAGCGCATTACAGCTATGAATATATACACCTTACTTCTTGTTTCTCTTGGTGGATTGTCCAATCAAACAGGGCTGGCTGACCCGTCAGACGCAGAAAGAAGGACTCTAGAATCGCGTTCGGAGTGGACAGCGTTATAGACTTATAATTGTTCTAAAATGTAATTCTTCTCTTTCTTGAATAATAAACGCAGTTGTCGATAGAATTCTGAAATGAAATTGCACTACGGTCCTCGTGAGGTTAAATTTGAAAAAAAAATTGTTTTCGGCCCTCGGTACCAAGGGAAAAGAAAAATCTGGATTTAATTCTTCGATCTGCTTCGTAAAAATATACAACCGGAGCTATCCTGGGGCCTTTTGCTCAACTTTTCTAGTTTATTTCATCTTTTTTACGAACTGCTGCGGCGTCGCGGTCTAGTTGATTTGCTCCGGCTGTCGCATCTTCGCTGGGGCCAGGATCTCTGGCTTAGGAGCGGTCTCGTCGTGTACTGCCTCCGGAGTTTTCGGCAGCAAGCGCGGATCTCATCTTTCCAGCAGCCGGTCCAAGAAAACTGGCCGGTCCAAGATTCCGAACTGCTGGGCGGATCTGAGGTAGGCTTGAGCCAAAAGGCGGGTACTCCCAATAGGTCGGCTCGGTCGCCCGTGACCGTAACTGCTGGCTGCGCCTTGTGGTACCACAAGAAACTTGAGAAAACTAAGACAGAATTATAGCAGATGTCATGATCAATTAATCTAGAATCAACCTAAAACTTTTGAAGGATGATAGAGAATGAGTGACTTGAATTGCTTCAACTTCAGTGGTGGTATGGCAGGTCGTCAACAACCTTGATAGCCAGAATGCGATAGCTTTCAATAGATAGTATGACGTAATGAGATACAAAGCAGCATCACTATATCACAAAGTTGAACGCAAAGAAAGTTTTAAATCCTCCTGCAATACAAATAAGAACATTTTTTTGCCGACCAAAAATATGCCGAATTATGGCGGGTTGTAGATTTTGCGGTGCGTTTAGCATCCGCCAGGTAAATCGTCCTAAAAGCTAGAAATAGCCTTTAATAGGATTCAAGCTAATCTTATAATGAAAAACAATGGAAGTTCAACAATGAAATTGGAACGAAAACCAATAAAGTGAAAAAACTGAAGTATCTAAATACATGCCAAGCAAAGAAAATTGGCACGGGCAAGAAGCTAGTACCCGTGTAGCTCACAAAAGAGCTTCACAAAAAATTTGTCGGCCTTTTATTAGGACAACCAAATTGGTTTTCTAAGCTCTCAGAAATTAGTATAAAGACCGCATTTAGTCAAACTTTTCTGCGCCGAAGGCAAGTTTTTGAAAAAACAGGCCAAAAAGGGCGTTTTTAGGGACTTTTTGAAAAATTTTGATCAAAAAGTCGCGTTTTTTTGGCGCGCGCTCCTCCCTCAAAATTAGTAAATTTTGGCGCCTTTAAAAAAGTTAGAGTCCGTCAGCCAAAAAATGATAGCTCAAAATAAAACAAAGGGGGGACCCTTTGGGTAGGCAGGGTTCGAATCCCTGAAGGGGAGAGCGTCCACAACCCCCCCCCCTCCCAAATCCGCAGGTGTGCTCAACACTATTAGAAGCATATCATGCAAGCTCAATTTCTATGACTTTAGGTTCTTACCGCAAAAGAGAGTATATTGTTAGATGGTACAGCGTTGAATATGTCCTCGTAAGCCTTGGTGTTTTTGGCCGCCCTGGAGTACCAAGTCTGTTTGAAGAAGTGGTCACAAACTGGGTCATTGTAGATAGTGTCATCTATGGGCATGAGGTGTTCACGGAATAGCTTCTGACGCAGGCCCCAGCAGAACCTTGCCAAAACACAAAAAAATTACATACTACAGTTGACTTGATGGATCCACCGGCAATGTATAAACCGGTTGATGTCAGATTAAAAAGCGCTCTGAAGTTTTGAAGAAAAATCATGAAACTCTTTCAAAAACAAATAGTTTATTCTGGTAAAATAATACTTTTTCGTAAAATAATACTTTTTCATAAAAATATTTTTCCTAAAATTACTATGAGCTATTATGCGATGGTATAAAAACAAGCCGAAGTATCAACCAGCCGAAAATACGTAAGCGTTATATAGTAGTAAGAAACAAGTATATGTAACAGTTACGAAAGAAAATTAGTTCATATGATGTATTTTCGGGCTGGCTCATTTACTCCGCGCATTTTCGGCTGGCTTATACTTCGGCTGGTGTATTTATTCTCTATTGTTTGACTAGGAACATAAATTATATAATAGATGTTTAAGTTATGGCAAGAGAACTTACTTTCCGGCTGCGTATGGCTTGCCATCCATCTGAGACTCTATGAACTCCTCGTCTCGGAACGGATACATAAATCACGCTGGATATCTTGAAAGCGCATTACAGCTATGAATATATACACCTTACTTCTTGTTTCTCTTGGTGGATTGTCCAATCAAACAGGGCTGGCTGACCCGTCAGACGCAGAAAGAAGGACTCTAGAATCGCGTTCGGAGTGGACAGCGTTATAGACTTATAATTGTTCTAAAATGTAATTCTTCTCTTTCTTGAATAATAAACGCAGTTGTCGATAGAATTCTGAAATGAAATTGCACTACGGTCCTCGTGAGGTTAAATTTGAAAAAAAAATTGTTTTCGGCCCTCGGTACCAAGGGAAAAGAAAAATCTGGATTTAATTCTTCGATCTGCTTCGTAAAAATATACAACCGGAGCTATCCTGGGGCCTTTTGCTCAACTTTTCTAGTTTATTTCATCTTTTTTACGAACTGCTGCGGCGTCGCGGTCTAGTTGATTTGCTCCGGCTGTCGCATCTTCGCTGGGGCCAGGATCTCTGGCTTAGGAGCGGTCTCGTCGTGTACTGCCTCCGGAGTTTTCAGCAGCAAGCGCGGATCTCATCTTTCCAGCAGCCGGTCCAAGAAAATTGGCCGGTCCAAGATTCCGAACTGCTGGGTGGAATTTGAGGTAGGCTTGAGCCAAAAGGCGGGTACTCCCAATAGGTCGGCTCGGTCGCCCGTGACCGTAACTGCTGGCTGCGCCTTGTGGTACCACAAGAAACTTGAGAAAACTAAGACAGAATTATAGCAGATGTCATGATCAATTAATCTAGAATCAACCTAAATCTTTTGAAGGATGATAGAGAATGAGTGACTTGAATTGCTTCAACTTCAGTGGTGGTATGGCAGGTCGTCAACAACCTTGATAGCCAGAATGCGATAGCTTTCAATAGATAGTATGACGTAATGAGATACAAAGCAGCATCACTATATCACAAAGTTGAACGCAAAGAAAGTTTTAAATCCTCCTGCAATACAAATAAGAACATTTTTTTGCCGACCAAAAATATGCCGAATTATGGCGGGTTGTAGATTTTGCGGTGCGTTTAGCATCCGCCAGGTAAATCGTCCTAAAAGCTAGAAATAGCCTTTAATAGGATTCAAGCTAATCTTATAATGAAAAACAATGGAAGTTCAACAATGAAATTGGAACGAAAACCAATAAAGTGAAAAAACTGAAGTATCTAAATACATGCCAAGCAAAGAAAATTGGCACGGGCAAGAAGCTAGTACCCGTGTAGCTCACGAAAGAGCTTCACAAAAAATTTGTCGGCCTTTTATTAGGACAACCAAATTGGTTTTCTAAGCTCTCAGAAATTAGTATAAAGACCGCATTTAGTCAAACTTTTCTGCGCCGAAGGCAAGTTTTTGAAAAAACAGGCCAAAAAGGGCGTTTTTAGGGACTTTTTGAAAAATTTTGATCAAAAAGTCGCGTTTTTTCGGCGCGCGCTCCTCCCTCAAAATTAGTATATTTTGGCGCCTTTAAAAAAGTTAGAGTCCTGCAGCCAAAAAATGATAGCTCAAAATAAAACGAAGGGGGGACCCTTTGGGTAGGCAGGGTTCGAATCCCTGAAGGAAAGAGCGTCCACAACCCCCCCCCAAATCCGCAGGTGTGCCCAACACTAATTGAAGCATATCATGCAAGCTCAATTTCTATGACTAGGTTCTTACCGCGAAAGAGAGTATATTGTTAGATGGTACAGCGTTGAATATGTCCTCGTAAGCCTTGGTGTTTTTGGCCGCCCTGGAGTACCAAGTCTGTTTGAAGAAGTGGTCACAAACTGGGTCATTGTAGACAGTGTCATCTATGGGCATGAGGTGTTCACGGAATAGCTTCTGACGCAGGCCCCAGCAGAACCTTGCCAAAACACAAAAATTTAAATATTACAGTTGACTTGATGGATCCACCGGCAATGTAAAAACCGGTTGATGTCAGATTAAAAAGCGCTCTGAAGTTTTGAAGAAAAATCATGAAACTCTTTCAAAAACAAATAGTTTATTCTGGTAAAATAATACTTTTTCGTAAAATAATACTTTTTCGTAAAATAATACTTTTTCGTTAAAATTTTTTTCCTAAAATTACTATGAGCTATTATGCGATGGTATAAAAACCAGCCGAAGTATCAACCAGCCGAAAATACGTAAGCGTTATATAGTAGTAAGAAACAAGTATATGTAAAAGTTACGAAAGAAAATTAGTTCATATGATGTATTTTCGGGCTGGCTCATTTACTCCGCGCATTTTCGGCTGGCTTATACTTCGGCTGGTGTATTTATTCTCTATTGTTCGACTAGGAACATAAGTTATATAATAAATGTTTAACTTATGGCAAGAGAACTTACTTTCCGGCTGCGTATGGCTTGCCATCCATCTGAGACTCTATGAACTCCTCGTCTCGGAACACCAGTGCCACCTCGCTGTCCCTGTCCCCCATGAGACTCCTGTCGTTGATGTTGGCACTGCCTATGATCGCCACCCTGTCATCCACTATCATGATCTTGTCATGCACGAAGATTATCTCTGTCACTAGCTTGTCGTTCAGAGTACTGTGGGTCCGCAGTCCACACACCTTAAGCCATTCTTATATTTTTAAAATTCAAGCTTAATTGGACTATACGAAGAAACTATAGATTCAAATAAAGGAAACTGTTTTAATAATACGAATTCAGGAGATAGTTTTACCTATACAATTAGTTAATCAAACTGCTTGTACAGACAAAGTCACCGAAGATCATGCAAAAATTTATATGCTATTCGGGGTATGACTCTGAAAAACCTCACACACAAGTTGCGAGATGATATCAGACTTGAACGCAGGTGTTATCTCTAGGAAATAAGGAATACATGTTTTTGTAAAGTTGCTTTGGCTGATGCTCTCTAAACTGCTTCAACCATCTGGTATCATATCGTTTGATTGCAAAAAATATACTATTTGATATCGCGTTGTCAGTGAATTTAAATTAAGTTAGAAAAACACAATAAACAATCAAGTAAAATCATTCAGTTCAAAAGGCAAAAAGAATTATTGAAAGTACTCAATTCTAACCGACAGGTAGTCGTGAACAGGCACTCTTTTTGCTGCAAGTCTGCCAAACAGACTGTCCTCTCCTTGACATAGGGTTCTGTACATCCAGTTCTGGATCTTCTGAGGCACTGCTCCCCCAGTTTGCCCAATTTGGCCCGGGAAACCCGGCACCAACGGCAAAATAATAAAGACTCTAAACTTTGGTTTAGCTGCATTGTTGAAAGCTTGCACAATTTTTGCTTCTATTTTTGAGACAACTTGGTTGAAAAGTGTTATACCTCCATAAGATGTTGAAGATACAAGAAATTGATTCTCTATGAAAATAAAATGCTCAGCGGAATCTATTGCGTTTATGTATGCTTCGTAAATTGATCGTTCTCGAATGTTCTCGGAGAAACCTCCCGACCAGGACCCTATTGAACGCACGACTTGACATGTCGCTTGGAAGGCATCTTTCTCAACGTGTAGACGTTTTAACGATTGAAGAGTAACATTCGCCGTGCTCTTTGGAATCAACAATGGATATGAGTTTTTCACACGGTATAGACCAAACTTTTTACTTTTGTAAACAGTGCGAATCATGTTCCAGCGTTGTATGAAGTGTCTCGCAACATCTCGCGCACATGTTCCATATACAACGCTTGAAACATCATGCCATGGCATTCTGGGAGTCGTTTTGCGGTCAATGACCATGTCGAAAGGCTGACTAACATCGGTGTGGTCTTTCTTAATGATGTTTACATAATCTTGCCCGACCCATAAGTACTGGTCTGGCTGCTCGCTTATCTCGGGCTCCGGGTAATCTGAATCAACTCCGTCAGTTGAATCTTGGCTATCTTGCGGTTCAATAACGTGTGGTTGGCGGTTATTCACAAGTCGGCTCGCAACTGACCTACTGCTATTTTCGTTTCGCGGTAACAGAGGCTGATTTTCTTGCATGATGTCTTCTATTATTTCCTCTTTTGATGGCTTGAGGTTTCGGTACTTGTTCTTTCTATGAAATTTTGGTATCTTCCGGCGCGACATGCTGCGAGCTTTAGTCGTAAGATTGTGTCGCATCTCGGCGAATGAGTCACGAGGGAGCCGCATGAATAAGTGACTGGCGCGCATGCGGACTGTCTTCGAAGCATTGTGATCAATGGGAGTCGCATCTGATCCGCCTGTATCTGTAAGTCGGTGCATCCTGTAAACAAATTTCAGGTTATTTTCTCTTTTTTCAATCAAATAGACGTTCAAAACATTGCCCTAACCTTGCAAAAACATTAGTGTTGTTATCAGGGGCGGATTTAGGGGGGAAGGGGCGGGGGGGGCGGACGCCCCCCCCTCAGGGATTCGACCCCCTGCCGACCCAAAGGGTCCCCCCTTTGATACTTTTTCAGAAATCCATTTTTGGCCGACCGACCCTAAAATTTTTCTAAAGGCGCCTTGGGCGCCAATATATACTAACTTTGAGGGGGAGCGCGCGCCAAAAAAACGCGATTTTTTTGTCAAAATTTTTCAAAAATTGCCCAAAAACGGCTTTTTTGACTGTTTTTTCAAAAATTTGCCTGCGGCGCAGAAAATTTAGCCAAAGTAGGGGCAAAACATTGCTTTGGGAGAGCTCGAAAAATCAATATGGTCGACCAAAAAAAAAAAAAGGTCGTCAAAATTTTGGAAAATTTTTTGAAAATCCGCCCCCCCCCCCTCGAGAAAATCCTAGATCCGCCCCTGGTTGTTATCTGTTTTCAGATCAACTTGGCACTCTTGTCGAATAATTTTCCTGATTATTTTAATTATTTTTGGCACGCAGAAAATGTTTTTGGGGTATATATTTTGTTTTCATGCATTCATTCAGTGATTGAATCCATCCTGCGCTTATAAAAAGTTTTTTAATTAACCTTCTGATTTTCATCTCCAGTTCTATCAGTTTTGTTTTGTCGGTGTTTCTATAAACTAAAACTTCATATTAGATGATTGGTTGCACGTAACTTTTATAAGCAACAATGAATTGCTGTTCAGTTAGAAATTTAAATTTGCTGTCGAGATGAATTCCAAGATAATTGAAACATTCTGCTTTTTTTATTTGGGTTGCATTTAAAAAGTTATTAATACGTCTTTTTTTTTAGCTTTTTGTGTCCGACAGTGGCCCATGGTCTTGGTTTTTTTACATTTAGTGTCAATTTGTTCTTTTTTATCAATCATTTACCAAATGCATTTATCCTGGATGAAAGAATGATCTTACATGTCATCCCATCTTCCAAAACAGATGTCAATTCCCCCGACATAAGCTACCAGCTGATCCACAATCACCAGCTTCTCATGATGTGCCCATAATATATGGGTTCCAATATAAGGATGGCGCATGACCTTGATATTCGGGTGCATTGACGTCAGCACCTTCTTCGCATGTTTACTCTGCAATCCGACTGCCCATTTAATTTCCTTGTATAGAAGGATATAAATACGAACCCCCTCTTTCGCTTTAGTGGCCAAAACATTGTCAAGTCTATACTTGGGATCTAATTTGTGAACGTTGTTCCGGTCATACTTCCTTATAAGATAATACTGAGGCGTGAGCCACCAATCTGTGATAAAAATTTCCTCCCGTGCGCTCATTAGTGCATGATATAAGGACTGGAAGTATTTAAAGCCATCGATGAAAAACATGCAACGACTATTTGGTCGTTCGGGGGCGAAAGAACTGTTTGGCAAATGTTCAATGTTGGCGTATTCACATGTGTTTTTGAGTCGTATAAGCGATTCGTACCACGGTTCGACTTGTTTGTTGTACACCTGATAGTCGGATATTTTGTTCATGTTTCTGACTCGGAGCCGATTGCTGGCTAGTTTCTCTATTTCAAAAGCCCGATCTACAAGAAGTACGTCAATTACTCGGGCACCCACGGCGTGAATTAGGCACGAATCTTTCAGAAGGAGCCACCCGGATAGCTTGAACGTACGTCGGCAGAACATTTTCTCGTGTCTTGTTTTTCTGCCTTTGACTGTCGTTTCGATCTGTTTCGGGCCAATATCTTTAATGAAGGAAAAGAAGGAGCACTGCAGAAACCTGAAGGTCGCTGTCTCGTTTGAGTGGAACGCGATAAGTTGTTTTAAGTAGAGCCAAAGTTCGTCTTGAAACTTTCTGAGTTCCTAAAATTATTTTTTGTCTCATTTTGAAATATACGATATTTTTTTCTGCCCAAAAAAAACTGCCCAAAGCAGTTTCATCGGTTGACAACAATAATAAGTGCCATCGCTTTACCTTTTTAGCAATTTTTTTTAGATTTTGCAGCTTACATTCAATTCATGTCTTACCATAATTATTGTTTACTTTTTCTCTGATAAAAAATAGTTAATTTGAACAATCTGAACTTATCCGAACGTGTCTTACATTTCCGAAGTTAGAAGAATTAGAATCTCCGGGTCCTCCGTAAGTGAGTCTGTTGATGTTGGGTAATTCTGGAAAAGATCTGCTGGTATCTGTGGCCCTGTGGGCTAGCTGCTTCACTTTAGACTTAGCCCTTGCAGCCAGTAGACTCCTGTGAAGACTGGTTACTTCGGAGTAGCTTTTATTCACTTTCCAGATCGTATCTCCATGTCGAAGGACAATGCCAACCCTAAAAGAGGACGTTTTCTGAAACAAACTCCCGCATGTGATGTATGCGTGGTAGAAGCTGTTTGTTTGCAGCAATCCAGCGAAGCATATCAACTCAAACAATACTTCAGTATAATACGCCTTAAGGGAGGAGCGAACATACAATCGCTATTCATCGATAAGTCATCTCAAACCCTGGCCACCCAAAGAGTCTTTCCCGGGTCGAGGTGTTCGTTCGACTCAAACAAAAATAACTATGTTTTGACCGACTCTACCAAAAATAGCTATGTTTCGACCGACTCGACTGAAAGTAAAATGTGCTCGACTGTGTTCGACTCAAACTAGTTACGTTTCGACCGATTCGGCTGAAAGTAAAGTGTGTTGGACTGTATTCGACTCCAGCGTCCTATGTTTCGACCGATTCGACCCACACTGACTATGATTCGACCGACTCGACCAAAGAAAAAATGTTCTCGACTGTGCTTGACCCAATTATGCTACATTTCGACCAATTTCACTTAAATTGGCTACGTTTTTGCTTATTAAAAACACTTATATACTGGATGTCTCTGCTATTTGCATCTGAGTTGCGCATTTGTAGGCAAAAAATTCAATAAAAAACCGAATTCCAAACTTGTTTCAGCTAGTTTAGATAGTGTTCTATTAGGTTTCGAGCTTATGTTGGAGTAGATTTCGATATAGTTATCGAGTGTTTCAATATTGCGTCCAAAAATGTTTCGAAATTCTGATAAATTTTGTTTCGATAAAATTTTCGACCTTATCAGTCAAAATGTTTCAATTTTGTGTTCGATTTTGTTTTTGAGTATGTTTTTGATCACACTTTATGTTCGACATAGCGCTCGACTACGAATAAAAATAGTGTCGACTATGTTTCGACCACACTTTTTGTTCGACTTATTGTTCGACTAGATTCGAAATGGTGTTCGACTACATTTCGACCATGTTTTCAAATATGCTTCTAATCTATGTTGGGCCAAAAAGTCTGTTTTCGAAGATGGATTTTGGGTTGAACAATATCCTTGTGTTCGACCGAATTCGATTGAAACATAAGTCGAACACCTCGACACGGGTCCTATGATAAACTTACGCCCAGCTACGGATGATTAAACCTAAATAAATTCTGGAGCCGCATTTTACACCTCTTTTCGAAACCCTCATTTTGCAAATCAAAGGTTTTGAAAAAAAAGCATTTTGACACGGTTTGATTGACAAAAATTTGATTCTCGAGTGATCTATCACAATAGGAGGCAGATTTGATTAAATTAGCTGGACCAGTCTTTTTTATAGTTCAAACTGTATTTTCAATTTTTTAAAGGCCAAAATTTTTGCAAAAGAAATGTAAAATTTGAATTTTCGATTTAAATTCCACCTGGAACAGTAAATTTGTAAGCAAAAACTATCTAAATAGCATGTACAAGAAATTGAAAACAAATGACTATATTATGCTCAAAGTTGCTACCTATTGTAACATATTACCGATTCTTTTTCGTTTTTAGAAAATCTTGGCGGACATTTTTAAGTTGTTTACAAAAGTATCAGACTTTCTCTTTGTTCTCGAGCAATCAAATTTTTATGCTTGATGCTTTAGAATAAGGGATAAAATACAAATTTGTGAAACTAATTTATTCAGCAGGTCATCTAAATAGTTCATCTAGGTAGGTCATCTAGATAAGTCGTCTAGATAGGTCAAGATTGAAGCAGCCAACAGCAGACAGAATTTAATCAGAATCAGGGGAAGAGGGGAACGTTATTATGCTTGCAGCAGCGTTGCAATTCCGTCTAGCCTTTTTAGTTGATCAGCTAAAATTTCATTTAAGGCGCCAATTTTTGAGCCAACATTTCCAAAAGGTCTTATTTCCAAAAATTTGCTAGTGGCGCAGAAAATTTTGGCAAAATAGGATTTTAAAAACGCTCCGGCAAAACTTCGAAAAGCTCATGCGCACGCCACTGTATGCTTGTAATCAAATGAGGTACGTCGGCGGTGTTTCTATGGATAGCTCTTTTTTGAAAATCGGTAGAAGGTTTTTTGAGACAAAGCTAAATTTTTTGCAAAAAGTGATATAATTTTCCGAAGCGTCTCAAAAAAAATAATAAAAAACCCAATTCTATACATTTGCATAATACCTGTTTTTATCAAACTGGAATTCTAGGCAAACAAGCCAAGCATGGCACTTGAAATTCAAATTAGCAACTGAACAAAATTTATGAAGCAGTAACAAGGCCAATAATCTTTGAGCAGACACCAGTTGGGCCGAAAAAAAATGATTTTGTAAAAAACTTTAAAAAGTTGTTAGTCCCCCTGAAACTACCCGTTAGTGACTAGTACCCATCCAGTAGTTAAATTTGAATTTTCATAAAATTGAGCATGTCAGCTGCATAGTGATTCAACCGATTCTGTTAAACTAGATGTTAACCCGAAAAAAGTCTAAACTCGATTTGATAACGCTTGCTAATTGCAAGCATAATTACTTTGGCAAATTGCTTTGACTGATTAAAAGAAGTTGAAGTTTTTATGAAAATTACCAATGAATGTTCACTTTTTGATAGTCAATCAAGGTGTCGTAAATTGCACTAACAAGGCTACAGCGTAACTTTGGCAATTAAACAAGGATTAGGCTTAAGTTAAACACTAACATGATGCGGGACACTCTGTCTTTGAACTCCTTTGTATGGGGCCTGATATACCTCAAGTCACTATCGAAACTGAATGACACCTCGGTCACCTCCGGAGCCTCAGTGCCGAAAACAGTCGCACGCTTCCTCAAGTCCCGAGAGAAGATCCCCTTGTAAGTCGGAAACAATGGCATCTCGGTGTCTTCGGTCGACACTTCGTTCACAATTTGCTCGCTGGGGTCGTTCGGGTCTAGAGTGTGAACACTTCTGTTGTCATCGTCGTCTGTTGTTACTCTGTACTCGGGAGTAGCTCGTTTTGTACCCTCAAACAATTGGTCTATACTGATTCCTGATCGAGGTCTAGAACAATGGACATTAACGGTTGATAAATATACTTTTACTTTCGATTTGTATTCCTGCAGTATTCCTGAATTTGAATACCAATTGATTGACGCATTTCATCAAACAAAAATCTCAGTCAACTAATACAAACGTCACAAACAGTTATAAAACCTTAGCTCAAAGATCTCAACCGTGTTCTCGACGATACATTTCTGTTTTAAGTTCAACAACACGATTTATAAAATAGCTGAGATCTGTCTCAAAATCCAAAAAAAAAATACATTAAAAAAAGAAGTCGTCAGGGTAATGATCCATTGCTAATGAAATTGTTTGTATATCTTGACCTAAAAAGTCTACTGTAAAATCTACTGTGACCCATAGCATCTACAACAAAAATAATTTTTTAAAACTTGTTTACAAAGATGAATAACACCAGAAGTATCAAAATTATGTACCGCTCTTTCGTTCTTGTCGTCAGCGAATCGCATCTTCTAAGTAGAGTTTGGTTCTGAGTTCTCCGTTCTCTGACATCGGGATGTTCTCTAACAGAATACGATTTGTGCAACAGAGATCCCTTGACCTTTCTTGGAATTGAACCCAACCGGTTGGACCACCGAGACACCGGATTTAATTCCCTGGATGTCGAGGCACTGTCACTGGACCCATAGTCGTAATGGATCCGATTTTCTGAGAGGGCTAGATAGTCCAGATTGTTTTGATGCATCGATGTGGCCTCATTGACCGAAGTCCAGTATGTGTGTTGCCTTTTGAATGCTTGTAAGCGCTTAGTGCCCTCTGAAGGCAGCTCATCTGGCACAACATCTCTCGACTCACTTGTAACCTCTAGGTCATCTTCGGTAATTTTTGCTAAAAAATTACGCTTACAGAGAATTAACTCAGTTTGATTGAAATATTTTTTGCTATTTATTTTGGTAGCATTTATTTTGGGTTGTTTTGGTAGCAATATTTTTGGTTATCTTAAAGTAGCGTTATTTTTGCGTTATTTTGGTACCGTTATCTTTGATTATTTTTTTCGATATATTGCTGTAATGCTTTTAACTCCATTTGAAAACGAAGTTAATAAACATAAAGAATCAATGAACGCAGTTAAACAGAACAAAAACTGACTTGTTTTATGAAAAAAAATTCAACTTTCGAACGTCAAAGAAAATAAATAAATAGCCTTCAAGCTCTTTAAACTCTTAGAACAGTTTATGACTGACACATTTTGATAAAATTTGAGTAAACTGGATCTGATCTATAAATAATTTTTTTGTTTCGCTGGTAAATCTAAAATTTAAGTTCAACTTCCAAACTTGGTGGCGATCGCGTTTTTCGTGACCTTTATACTTTTGCTGTTCGATAGTGGAGCTGCCTTCCTTTTAACAAAGGAAATGAACTGAGTTTAAGAAGAAATCAAAAGTCAAATAAAGAAAGAGTAAAAATTTCTCCTGAAACAAAAAAATCATTACAACTACGTTCATCGACTCTTAATTAGCTTGATATTTATGAGAATAGCGAAATTTTAATTTAAAAAAATTGTCATATTTTTTGAAAATGCTTTTCGAAATATTTTTCGTATGGCGAAAACAAAATTGTTGATAAGTCTGACCTCAGTCTGACCTTCAATTGGAATAAAATAAAGCAGTTCATCGGCAAAATCTAACCACTTGAAGCAGCATTTGAATGCTGTTGTGACTGATTGTGTTCGTTGCTATTATTGAAAGCTGTTGTTCCAAATAACTGAGGGTCCTGTAGGTCACAATTCGTATCTGAGTCGTTAAAAAACTGCCCGAACCCCAAACTGTCGTTGCTTGCTTCCAGCTCAGATCCATGCTGGCTTTTAAACGAAAACTGTTTTTTCACAGTTGCCATAGATTTGAACTAACTCTAAAGGATTTCAGTGTTCTCAGCGTCCAAACTAGCCGATCGCTCATTGAGTTAACTTTAAACTTAACGTCAGAGTGAGTTTCAGAGTGAAAGTCAAGTATGGCAAACTATACGACAGTAGAACACTGAAAATTAAGATCAGTTACATTTAAAGCAAGAAGGTTCGTAGTCACTGTATGTGACCTAAAGTAGCATTAATTTAGCAATTATTATGAAAGTAATAAATGAGCTTAGGCAATGGTTGAACATTCATTCAAATATGACGAGGTTTCATATGTTGTGTTGTAGTTTCGCATTTATGGCCCAACTTTTGTTATTTGCAGAACAAACTTGATTTGTCCGTGTTCAACAAAAAGTAATCACGACTCAAATGATCTTCAATGATACATTTGAGGAAATTAAATGCTGAGAAAATTTCGACTAAAAGTGCGAAAATCAATTTTTATTTTATGGTGTATTTTTAGCATTCAAGTCAATTATGAATGACTTACTTCTAATTCATGTATAATTCAGAGTTTTTTTGCATAGCTAAACCTGTGATGTTTTAGGGCTATTTCAGTAAGGATTCTGTGAAAAATCAGAGCTAAAACATAAGAATTTTTAACTGAGAAAAAAATCCTATAACTTTATGTCTTCTTAGCATAAATGGCGATCGCTGTTTTCTCACTTTTTTATCGCTAATTTTCAATGTGAACTCAATCCGGGTAAGTTATTATGAGCTCGATAAATTATTCTACAAAATCAATCCCAAATGCATTGACGCAAGCTGGTTCGGCTAATTTTGACACATGGAAACAAACGTGTTTTTAATCATGTACCTAAATTACGAACCAACTTTTGGTAACGTTTTAGAAAGAAAGTACAAAATCCCAGGTGGGTATGCAAATCTTTCCCAAGCCTAAAATGAAACACTGTATTAACAATTCACCCCGTACCCAACGGAGGCTGTTTTTCTAGATAGAATTTTTTTATAGATTATCTAGGCTAGTTTTCTCGTATTTTCTGCGCAGAAATGATCTATATCTTTTCTAGTTTAGAAATCAACAGTTTCTAGAAAAAAATAGCCAGAAATCAGTTCACTGCTCAACCGCAACGAGATTAACATGCTTCGAATATACACAATCACAGAAGCAATACAATGCAAACTACTACTTGTTATAACAAGTGTTATTTTGCTCAAACTAGCACGCATCAGCAAGGGCTGTAGCCTAGTGGTTAGCACAACCGCTTAGAAAACTAAAGGTCAGGGGTTTGAGCGTCATCGGGAGACTTTTTTCTAGCTAAAAATAGCCTAAACTTTGCTAATTTCTGATCAGAACTAAGATGAGAAATAAAAAACTTTAGGAAAATCCTTGCTTTGTTTAAACATGTCAAAAAAAAAATTCTGAACAGAAACTAGATTAGATATAGTGTTTCAGGTCAGAAATGAAGAATTTTCTCGGTACGGGTCATAACGAAACTTTTTCAGCTGCGCTTTGAGCTGCATCAAATATTTCAAAAAAAATTTCTGACATAATACTATGATGTTTCAGCAGATTTCCAGCATTGAATCAGAAGTATTTATTCTAATTTTTAAAATTTGGGTAAAGACAGAGTTAGTTATGAATTTGTTGCTAACAAACAATGTAGCGTGTAATAGTTCTTGATTCTTAAAAACGCCTGTTTCTTTTAATGCGAAAAAAAATCCTTAATCTGGAAAAATCCAGGGAACTTTTTGCGCCGCATCAATAATGATAAATGAAATAAGAAATGAAAATGGAAACAAGCAACGCAGCTAATGTGCACTTCGCAAACTCAACCAAAAACGATTTAAGGATTTCTAAAAAGGCAAGAAAATAGAAAAAAAAGTATTAAAAGATAAGACATCGTTTAAAATTGAGAAACTACTAAACTCCGCAGAGAAATTGAGTATAACAAGAGCGCTCATATACCAGGGCAAAGGCCTGAAGGTTGTTCCAAGTGCCCTTTAATCGATATCAAGGATCAACCATACAATCCCTCCCTCTCCAATTGATTTAGGGGGGAGAAAATATGATTTTTTTCATGAACTAACTTTGAGAATAGCCTAGATTTATTCAAAATTATTGGTTTCACTGAAAAACAAAAACAAATTGTTTTAAGCCATTAATCTAAGCAATTAACAGTATACAAATGTAATCCCGTATACAAAAATGTAAGAACCAATTTTATTTGCTCGATTGCATCAAATGCACAATTTATACAGAATCAACTTTCAGAAAGCATTCATTGCTTGGGAACAACCTTCTGCGGTAGGTCACTTAGATGGGAGAGATTGTACGGTTGATCTAGTATCAAATAGTAGTTAAAAATACTGAAAACCATAAACATTCGACGATATCAAACATCAAGTTAAAAGTTAGAGTAGTAAAAAGTTATTACGACTGATTAGCATGCCTCAATTGAATTTGGAACAATTTTGAACTTCGGGGATTTTTCTGTGCATAAATATTTTGTGCTACACTTTCAGCATTATGAAAAAATCTTCGAAGCAAGCATAAATTAGTCCAGAGCATGGCCAAATTGGTATTTTTGAAACTCCCATAACTTTGCAAAAAAAATTTTGGAGGTTAAATATCATTTTACATTTGAGCTCGGAAAACTGAAATTTTTAATTGAGTCTGAATTTTTGTTGGTAATGACTCTGATTTTGACATGACAAATTTGATTGAATAAACTTTTCTTTGACTAAATAAGAAAAAAATGTCGCAAAAAGAAATCAAAAAGCATACTAGCAAGAAGTTCAGTCTGATTCTACTCCTCAATATTTTAGAGCCAACAAAAAAAGAAACTATTGCAAAGTTGCCTGGAAGCAAAAATAAATCAAAAACATTTTTTTCCGATTGTTATACAAATCGGCAAATTATAAAAAAACCACATTTTGTTTTACAGGAAAAAAAACTAAAATTAGAGATGACCAAATAAAAAAATGACAATGTCAAATTTGGACAAAAAAATTCAAATCTTTACGTTTCTCTGAAAGTAACTTTAAAGTAATTTAAATTTAGGTAGCCAGTTTTGGGCGAAAAAAAACAAAAATCTGATCTTAAAAAATTTTCAGCTTGAAAAAAAATTCCAAACAATAAGTTTCACCATTTTTCAATTCATAAACAATTAAATTACATTTGGACAAAAAAAACAATATATATATGCAAAGAAAGCGCACATTTGAACTATTTCCAAACTTTATTGAGCACAAAAACAAATTGAATGTTAGCTGGACCTTCGAAACAACTTTGATGGAAACAAGTCTAAGCCTTGAAGTTAATCACTTTAAAATGATATAAAGTATCTGAAATAAAAAAAATAGAGAAATAACAGAAGTGAATTAGAAAAACTGCTTAAATTAACTAACAACTACATTTCCTTTCCAAATGTACTTCAAGGCTTTGAATGAAAAATCATCACCCTTTTCTGATTTGATAGCACTTCAATTTTGCTAAGTCTCAGTACAGTTTTCCATCTGTTATTTGCCTCTGAAAATTTTAAGCTAGAATGAAATAAAGCCGTTTCAGTTAACACTGCTGATTGTCAAAAACTGCTAAAAGTTTCGGAGTTCTTGATTGCTAATTTTTGTGGCAATACTTAAACGGCCAAAAACTAAGCTTTGATCGATCCTTTGTTAGGAGACCAACAACGAAATTGTTATGATTTTGACTGCTAATCACTAAGATTAACCGATAGGAACAGGTAGTTATTTGGAGATAAAATCAGCTTCTTTCATTTTATGAATTCTATAAATCATTATATAAACCCAGTAGATGGAGGATTCAAAACGAGGTCAATCGCTCCATCATGCTTTGCCTATAAGTCAAGCTAAAGAATTAAAATAATAAAAGTATATGTCTACTTATTTCAAAGTTAACTTCACGTAAATTAAGCGCTAATATTTTTCACCTTAAACTTACTTAGAATATTGAGATAAATACATGTCATATAATAGCTTTCAAAAACTCATCTTCAGCTCTTTACTTTTTACCTGACGTTGTTAGTATTGCAAGTCAAAAACGTGTTAAAATTTTGGCTTACATGTTGACAATAAACTTTCTTTTAAGTCTCACATCAATTATATTCGTTCAGCTGCGTCCGCATTAGCGGGGCTTTCGTTTAGACTCAGATACTTCTTAAACAAATCTCTGCTACTGCGTTTTTTATGACTGGTATATTAAACTTAAAATAATATGGAATTTTGGTTTATGATTGCGCAAAAAAAACTGATTTAAGCAAAATCAAGCTACTGCAAAAAATTGCTTAAGGTCCATTAATTTTAAAAGCAAATTTGAATCTAGCGATCAACTTTTTGTCGAGGACAAAACTTTAGATGTCTAAAAGTTGCAGATATATGATCTATTTAAGTTTTCATTAAAAAAAAACAAATTCTTGTTTGAACTCAGAGTACGTTTCAAAAATTTTTGTTGAAAATGCAAATAACCGTAAAACCAGATCAAGTGATTGGAACCTTTTATATTCAAAGCCAGTCAAAACTAAGTTTGCCCACAAATCATTGAAAGTTAGAGGAGACATCTTATATAACCATCTGAAAAGTCGAATTTGATCCCTTCTAATTTGGACTCAAGTGCTTCTATCCAAGACTTTGTGCATATTTTAAAGACAATATTCTAACTTGTGAGAATCAAATAGAAAAGTTATTTTTCTAATTGAGCTTCTGTTTGTAATTACGAACACATAAAATTGGGACGTTGTCTATCGCCATACGTGTGCGATTGAAATATGTTATCATTTGCTACCTGTCTGAGAAAGGGCAACTAATTAAATGTATAATTTGTCTGTCGGTTATCCTCTTTGGTGCTAAAACTGCATGTATGTACGTTTATGCAGAGAAGAAATTTATTACCTGAGAAAAACGGCCAGGCCAATTTGACGAGAGGACTGGTAAGCAAAACGGTGATCAAACATGCCAGAGAAGGCTAGCAAAAAGGTAGATCGGGCGACAGCATATCTTACACTGATCATCGAGAAGATACGGGCGAGCGATTAATAGCCGCTTACGCTGTTCGACTCAACTACGCGAAAAAAAAAT